GCGACATCAGAAAGTATAAGCTTTTACTAAAAAATAGTTTAACATTAGCACTTTAGGGTAATGCACTATTAAATTTCACATACTTTTTATATAAGAAAAATTATCAAAAATATTTATTTGAGTATTTTATGCGCCTAGAGCGTTTTTATTAGTAGTATTATTTATTTCAAGAATATGATCTATAGTAGGTGGAGTGTTCTGGCTAGGGTCAGTTTAAAATTATAACAGTGATTGTTAGAATAAAAATTATATAGGGGGTAAGTGGCATAAATAACCATGTTTGCTGACTAGCCATGCCACCACCCTTTAACTTTTTATCTATTGAACCAATTTATCTTAAATTGATCAGAATGAAAGGATTGAATTAAGCAGAGTTGTTAAAATACAAGTAGGGGAGACTGGGGTTAGGTGAACCCCGAGCTTGGCCTCATTTTAAAATTAAATACACCAGAAGGTTAAAATTTTATCATAATATAGGTTTTATTAGTTTAAATCATAGACAAAAAATCTTTTGAAAATTTTAATTATTAAAAATTTTATTTAAGAAATAAAACTTTGTTGATGAATTTCAAAAGATTTTTATATGACGACAGAATTTAAACTTTTATTAAAATATATAATAATTTATAAGTAAATTAAATTTTCATAGCAAAGTTTAAACACTCTTCTATAATTTGGGAAAGTTTTATGAGTATTTATTATATCTAGATTTCTAACCATAATTTGTCAATTTAGAGCTAGCGTGGCTTGCTAAACCGTACATCGATTATGGTAATTAATAATGAAAAAAATTTCAAAATCTGAAAAGGTATATCATGACTGTTTTATGAGTGGTATTTAAGATTTATGCTAAGAAATCATAATCTCACCTTAAGATTCTTATTTTTTTTATGTCCAAAATGTTTATTAAATTAACCAAAATTAAGTTTCAATTTTTATATATAATTAACTTCAATTTATAAATATTATGATATTTTGAACAATAAAACAATATAATTACTCTATACGTATCATTATTAATAAATAAAAATGCATTTCATTATGGCCTAAAGAAACCAATGGTTTAGGAAGCCCCTTGAAGTAGTTTGCCTAACCCCGCTATTGGGGCTTGTTGGACAAAATTTTCACTTTTACAAAAAATAAAATTTTAAAAAATTGATTATATTCTTAAAATTTTTTTTAATGCACCTTTATAGAGTATAGTTTTAGGTATCTAATCATATAATTTTTTATATTATCTAAAAAACCCAGGAGCCATAGCCAATTTTGTAAAAATTGGTTCAGAACCCCAGTCTCCCCTACCGATGCATATATATATATAAATTTTTATACAAAGTATCTGTATCCAGATACTATTTTAGAGATTGTCTCTGTGTTTAGATACTTTTAAATACATATGGATACTTTAATTTAATTCTTTTTTATATTAAAAAAAGGAATATTTGAATGCAAAATTTATTTTATCTCTATTAAAAAATATTAAGACAATAAAAAATATATAAATATTCATTAAATATTATTTTTTCCCTTTTTAATCTACAGATATCAGTTTATGATTTTGAAGGATACTTTTCTCCTGTAAAGGAATATATAAATCCTTGCTTAGCCATGATGCCTATTAATTATTAAAAACAATACTATTGATGCACAAAATTATTTTTAACAAATAAATTATTTAGAATTTTAAAAATAATTTTATAGATTCCGCTGACTTTTATTCAATAAATTATAAGTTTAAAATGCAAAATTTTTATTTTAAATATCTAAATTAGATTTGTTCGAAAGAATGATAAAATTTATTGACAATTGAATGAGAACAAATTATCAAAATGTTGTTTTACTTATTTTGTGCTCTCATAATATGAGTCTCTGTTTGAAAACAACGGCAAACCATGTATATATAAAATATATATGTGTCTAGATATGTATATAAACAATGTATCTGTGTTTGGATCCATTTTATGTGATGTATCTGTATCTAGATCCATTTAAAAATATATTTTCAACTAGGGAAATATATATTATTGATGTTTTCATAAAATTTATCAATAGATAAATAGATGAGTGGTATTTTAAGCATGTTTAACATCCAGAAAGATAATAATTTATAAAATATAATCATTAAATAGATTAGTCTGATGATAAAATAGTTAATATTAATTATTTATTGTAATTTTTAATTTATTAAGATTCTTAATTAATATCTTATAGCCAGTTGAAACATATCATGTTTGGACTGGGCCAGAAAATCAACAACTCATCTATCTCATAAACTGATATAGATACAGCTTTGATTCAAATTTTATTTTAAATATTAAATTGGGTTACACATTGATATTAAATTTTTTTGATATATAACCTTTGAAGCTACTAGTCTTGTTTGATGATAAAACCTTCTCGCATACCTTACAACGATACACTATTAATTTTTTTTAATGAGATTAAAATATTTTGCGAATTGAAAAGAAAGTTCAATATAATTTTCCAGGGATATTACTTTGTCGATATGATCTTCACCAAAACTATCTTCAATATAAATTTCTATCGTCTACATTTTAAATCATTTTGAAAATAGATTTATAATGCAGATTTTTAAATATAAATTTAAATTTTAAAATTAAATTTAAATTATTTATGTGTATCTATTATATAAAATTGAAAGTAACGAAGTAGCGCGCCACTTTGATACTTTCTAAATTAGAATCGAGCTACCGCGATTGCTATTTTTAAAGTAGCTTACTAAAGCTAACGCTACTGAAAAAAGTAGGGCACTTCTAAAACCTTAATTTAAAAATACTGCCCTATGGTAAACAGTAGAAAAAAAAATTGGTTTTCTGCTAGAATGGATAATATAAAAAACCTATTTATGGCGAAGGCTAATATTTAGTGCCAAACTAGTACTTTTAGTTCTTCAATCCATATAGAACCACAAAAAGAAATTAAGTTATATACAAAATGAAAACTGTGACATGACGCGTCCTAGAATAAAGAAGTTATAACTATCTAGTTTCATATTTAGTGCCTTACTTATAAATTATTAAATTAATAAAGAAAGGCCACAATAAAACCAATTACGAACCAAATATCACGCCTTAAGCTTAAAGTCATCCAAAGATATGGAAGCATTATCTCTGATATTTATGTCAATTTAGTGCGTATTTCATACTTTTTAGTAATTCAACCCGTTTGAAGTTTAAAATATTATTGGTAATATAAAAATAAATTGCCAAGATTGGCATCATGTTAGAAGGAAAATTATAGAAGCAATGAAAAAGTTTTTTTATTAAAACCAATTATAAGAAAAATATAAAATACCGCACGCCTTAGACTGAGTTTTAAATATAGAATTTTAAATTACTATTCAAAAATCAATTACGTCTTAAATACTTTAAAGTTTTTCGATTCAAAATATTTTTAAATCTTATGATTTTATGATCTTTATAGATGTTGCTTGTTCTTTCCAGTTTATTTAATAAATATTTAGCAATATAAATTTTTTTTTAAAATGTTTATTATATAGTTTATTATAAATATAAGGTATAATAATTTAAATTTTCATTATAATAAATTTTAATATATTTAAAAATGTTTGAAAAATATATAATAATACTATTAAAAAAAAGAACGGAGATGGTGTGACGCAGGGAAACAAAAATGAAAAAGGGACGTAAGCGTTGTCTATGATAGCTCTTTGGCTAGAAGGCTACCATTGAAACTGATATAATTAGCTTTGTGAATCGCTATGGATAATCGTTGACGAAGAAAAAAACCCTCTCGTGGTTCTTCTGAGAGTTTGCTGATTTGTGATCCTAAGTTTTTGAAAAATGCTAAGGCGAGTTTGCTGAAGGTGCCAAGAGTGGTTGATATGATTGGGATGAAGCAATGATCGTTTATTATTTCTGTGTATTTAGAAATTTTAAGTTGTTCCTTCTGGTCAAGGATGTTGATGGCGTGGTTGGATGGGGCCAAGGGGTCAATACAGGAATAGCCCCATACCAAAAGTTGGCCTCTCCTCCATGGGATTTGAGAGATCCCATCAGGACGTTTACCGTCAGATCTAAAAAGACCCTGTGGTTCTAACGTGGAAGGAATTTGGGCGGATTTCAGAGCATGTTGGATGATTGTATTACATTGCTTGTGTCTGATGAATCGTCCATTGCAGGAGCGACAATGTAAACTATGTCTACCCTTCGAGTCAACTGGCGAGTTGCACCTGCGTAAAGAATCCTTGGTATAAAAAAGAAATTTTTTAGCAAAAAAAAGGACTTGTGTGATGGAAGAAGTGTAAAGATGTCCTCCAGTTTAAGGAGTATGTCAAGTGTGGAATGAAGAAAGGTGCTTATTGCCTCGTGTCCTCCAACAGGCGATCCTAGATGTGTTAATTCAACGCTTGATATGAATTTGAAATCGTGAGTGTTAGGAGCATTAGAATTTAAAAGTGAGAATTCAGATTTGCTCTGGTTAAGCGAAAGTCCAATGGCTGTGCCCATTTCTTTAATTATGGTGACTGCTTTGGCAATTTCACTACTGGGACCACTCAAGATTCCATCATCAATATACCAAGCGTGGAGCGATAGAGTACATGAAGATTATTAATATAATAATGTTTTTTTTTAAAAATAAAAAATAAAAATTCAAAGGTTATGAAGGGGTTTTGGCTCCAAACCCACTGTTTACGCCACTGCATATGGTCAATTATTCTCGGTCTCCCTCAAGATTCGTCTTGAATGATCGTCTTGAATGATCGTCTTGAAAGATCGTCTTGAATGATCGTCTTTAATTTTATTCATCCTTTAAAATATTTTACATTTTATTTTGATTATATTATTTTATTATTATTTTTATTTATTTTATTTTTTGAAATTGACTTTTAGTTTAGATAAAAAATAAATTATACTTAAATTAATATCATAATTAAAGTAGTCTTACAAACCAAAAGAAAAAAAATTTGCATAAAATATTTTAAAATGCGATTTTAAAAAACTTTATAACTTTTTTTTAGTAAAATGAAAACAGAATTAAATCCGTTCGCTAAATTTTTATTGCGTTATAACGATACAGCACCCGTCACTTTGAATTATGCAAATGAATCAGATAAGCAGATATATCCTCAACATTATCAATCATATAATTTAATAACAAAAGACAAATTATTTATTCTAGAATCCATACTATTTGGTTACATAAGCCCCTGGATAATATTTTTAACATTTTTTGCCAACTCCCTCATAGTAATCATACTAATCAAAGGCAAAAAAATATGCAGGCTTAAGCCCATAGAACTTATTCTCATCGCATTAGCAATTTATTCATTTTTATTGGCTCTTTCACCCCTCCCCTGGTATTTGTACTTTTTTCTAACCGGTGGCTACAGAAAAACTAATTTATATGGGTGTTACTTGTTTCATTATGGAGTGCAAGGGTTTCCTTCGATGTTTCACACAATGACTATATTAAGTACATCGTTTTTAGCCTATCAAAGATACTCGGGATTATATCTAAACAAGTATGCTGTTTCGTGTGATACGAGGCATGGTACATGCAGTGCATTACTTTTTATCGTTATATTTAGTATACTTTTTCATGCCGTAGGCTTGTTTGGATACAACATTGACATTGAAATATCTATTCAACTTAATGTTAGTGAAGATAATCCTTACATAAATTATTACTGCACGCGGAATATGAATCCATGGTTTGAAAAAAACCACGTCATATATGAAAACTTAAAAAATATTTTGAGGAGCATATTGATAGATATGATCCCGTTCATACTCATGACAACGTGTAACTATTATCTAATAAAGGCTATTCAAAAGGGTAAGAAAAATGTAAAACTTTTGACAGAAATCAGGAATCGCAGAAACTCTATGAAAGCTAAGGATTTAACCCGATCCACAAGAATGCTGATAGTTGTGGTATCAATATTTTTGATTACTCAATTTCCTATATTGATAGTTATGCTTATACATATATCAAATCAAGATTTAATTGGTCTTAAAAGTTGGAACATTTTTATGTCCCTTAGAAATTTTTTGGTCATCCTTAGCACTCCAGCTAATTTTTTCGTATATTGCAGTATGAACAAGGTTTTTAGGCGAAAATTTATAAATTTGTGTAAAATTCATTCATATAAAAGAGAAGTTGCTTCAAATATCGAGACATCAGAAGGTTAATTTTGGGAAATTTTTTAGATAGGCAATATATAATAAATTTACTTTAACGAATTTTATTATAAATAATCTTACTATTTTATTATATTTCCCTAATATCTGAGTTGTATTGTAATTGATGTAATTTATAATTCATTAGAAAGAAAATCTTTAATAAAGTATTACCCCTTCAATTTTGTTAAGGAAAACTAAAATTTTAGATATAATTTTTTCTAACTTGATACCATCATTATTCTAAAATGCACATTATGTGGACCTGGCTCATTAAATTGGCATCTGAAATTATCTTAATTATTTTTAAACAAAAATGTTTTCGATCTTCTAGTTGGATTAATCGAAAGATCTACCAGATATTGAATCTAATATAAGAGTGGTGGATCTTAATGCTTAAAGATTGAGGTCAAATTATTCATATAAAAATATAAATGTTACTAATTCTTAACCGAATCTTAAAACCGATTTCTATATATTTAATCTACAATTTAAATATTTTATGTTATTGTTTAAATTTTGTTTTATTTTGCGATTGTTTTAATTTCTTTTGTTAAATTTGAAAAAAATATATATGTTTCCTCAGATAACTTATTTTCAGAAGTTGAAGTTATAAATGATAGACACCAATCATCGAAGGTGATTTCTGACAGAAAAAATATAAATTACAAGTTAAAAAATGTAAATATTTTATTAATGCTATCTATAAATTCATATTTATGATTATTTCTTATTAAATATCCCAAATTATATTGGTGAGATTATTTTGAATAAATAAATATAGTCATTCAAAAAGAAAGTTAATTAAATTTTTATAAAAGATTTGATAGCGTAGTCCTAAAATTTGGGGCAGAAATAGTAGAGGACACGCTAAAATAGGCAAAAAATAGAGACGAATTTCTGTTCTTCCAAGAATTTGTAGCAAAATTTTATTGAATTTTTTTTATTTTTTTTTAAAATAGTTACATAAAATCTATATTATATAAAATAGCTATTTAGAAAGTTATATATAAATTTTAATATGTTAAAGAAAATATATACATTGCAAAATATATATTGCATAAAAAATGAGGTAGTATTTTTCAGAATTCATTTAATTTTATAAAAATAACTATATTAAAATGCATAAATAGGAAGAGATAGACTCCGACCGTTTGCCGGCCACCGATATTTTTTCCCATGCCGAAAACGCATCTGTTTATGAAAATCACCCCGGATGCCACCGATTTTCATATCAGCGGCGAATGGCCTGCGCAAAATAAATATAATTTCCACATATGCATTTTTATTCTAATAATTAATAAATATCCTTGTTGTAAATTTTGATGGCAATCAGGATGAAGTCTTATTTTATATCTATTTTATCATCAAAATTATTTTGACATCATTTTAAAATTCAATCAATCAAAAATTAAAATTCCAAGATTTACCATAATTTTACATATCTTTAAAATGGAGACCTTATATTGAAAGGGTGTTTAATTAAGTGAATATGAACACCACTTATGCTTGGGTCATGTTTTAAACTCGTTGAATTAGATGGTATTAAATACCTTTTGTTGAAAATATTATCAAAAGAATAAGAGGAAACTATCACAGCTCAAAGATATAAAATTACAGAAATTGAATCTGAGTTCGAGGCCGATTACCCGTTTCAAATTGACGATTCCAATGATGATAATAACAATAATGCCACACATATGAAAACGTTAAAATTAAATGTTCCAACCAGGTGGCATAGTATATTAATTATGCTTGAAATGAAAGCATATCTGGAGAAAATAAAAATTTAATTAATAAAGTTTTGAAAATAATTTGAAAACACTCTTTCAAACTATTAATCAGATCTAGTAGAGGAACCATTAGCTTTTCTTTTAAAATTTAAAGAAACAGTTGAAGTTCTATCTGCACAAAGTTTACCTTAAACTTGGCATCTTTTTTTAGACTTATAATGAAACAAATTTAATAGTAATTGATAAAAATAGCTCAAAATTATTTCCCTAAAGAAAAATATGCTAAGAAAAATTTGCGTTACAATTTCCTGTTTGTGATCTGCAATTAATAATATATAAGTATATTCATTTAACAAAAATAATCTATATATTGGCTTTTCATCTAGACCTAAGATTTCTAAAATTGAAAATTATGTCAATGTATATAGTATAACAAAATTATTGAGTGTAGGAATTAACGTATAGAGCATGTGATATTAGGGTAGTTAATAGATCTATTGAGAATCAAGAGGAAATATTAAATTCAAATTGTTAGACAAAATTTGCAACAAACATAACAGTAAGTACAAATAATGATTCCACTTTAAGTGATTTAGAACAAGAATGCCATTGGGAAACGCCATTCATAAGATATAGATGTTCTAAATTTTTGGAGAGAATAGAGGATCGAACTTTCTAATTTTTCCACGCTAGTTAAAAAATTCTTTGTATTCCGACAACTAGCACACTTAGTGAAAAAGTTTTCTCTACTGCTTAGTTTACGTTAAATTCAAAGAGATCATCATTATATCCGGAAAATTTAACTAAAATTATTTTTATACATACTAATTAGAAAATTAGAAAATCTATTTTGAATTTATGAGTTTCCTCTTCAATAAAGATCTAAAAATATGCCAAGATATCTGTAGCGAATGTATATTTTAATTTAGTTTTTCTTAAAAAAATATGTTACAAAAAATTTATAACTGTACGCCAATTTATTCCGCATACGGCGGCTAAAAATCGGCATGCCGCAGGCCGACGATTCTATTTTTGAAACTCTTGCCGGCCGCCGATATTTTTGTTTTGCGCACAGGTATAGGAATAGATTTAAAAGGTGAAAAAAACTACAATACTCGGCATGGCGAATCTTTTTCAATAATAATAATATTAATCGCATATTTCGATTAGTTTCATTTGCAAACCTCATATTTGCCAAACACTTTATAATATTTGGAGAAAAATTTCCCTAACTGAGAAGAGGCCCGTTAACGTTTATCAGCATTAAACTGGAAATATGTTTTATCATATGACATGCACGCAAATCTGTCATGAAATTCATAATGTAAAAGCCGCACTCACATTCGGCAATACTACATGGAATTGTGTTAAAACAATTTTGAAACTGTTTCAAATCACGAGATTTATTACTATTGTTATCATCAATATATTCCCTCAAGAACAAATTCGTTTAATTAGCTTTTCTCTATAATGAAGAGAGTCTAATGGTCAATTATCGCTTTATAAATATTTCATATTAGACAAAGATAGCTAAAAATATAAAACTGTATAATTTAATATAGTAATTTTAATAACTATGATTAGTAGAAATACCATCCATTAATCTATTTTGCATATTATCTATTAATAATGAATTAATTCGTTGTTACCAGAGTGCCTTCTATTTTCCTTTAATAGTACTAATCCAAATTTATTTATTTCCCTAGCTTCTTGAGCTAATATGTTCTTCTTTAGATATATTAAATAAAAAATTCATTTATATAAGAGATTTAGAACCTACAAAGCTTTAGGTAAATAATTTTTCTTGTCTGAATCCTTAAAGACAGATTAAATAATTCAAATAGAACATCATATGTCAAGGCGATATCCGATAAGAATTACCACTTTCTAGGGTGGACAGCCCGTTAGATTTTGCTTTGTTGTTATTGCTGAATTTTTGAAATGCGTATTAAGCCTCATAGTTATTCCAAACTGCATTTACGAAGACTGCTTAGACACCTATCGTACACCAAGTACCATTTCAATCTTCTAAAATTGATTATCCAATTCAGACCCTATTTCATTCAACCCTTTTTGGTTTTTTTTTATAAACTGATTGTGTCAGTGCATAATTGATGGATATGAATACCTAGAAGGCAAAATATGTATGTCATATTTAAATCATTGTGTATTTGAAATCTATTAACCATTCAAAGTATTATATCAGCGATTTGCTTTTGCAAGATAATATGCAGTGTTAAATATATCTTGGTTCTTTTATCAATGTGATTGATCAACTATTATAGTGCATTCTCTAAAAATATTATTTTGTTTGGTTTCATAGCATTTTCCAGCTTGTGTGCATCCAGTGGCGTATCCAGGATTTTCTTATAGGGGGGGGGGAATTTTTTGGGGTTTCGATTCCAAACTCCTTTTACCTGGCCTTCGGCCGGGTCTTATGTTTTAGCTATTCTATTAAATTATTCATAATTTAATAATAATTATATTTCTATTTTTAATTATTATTTACTAATTCGTGCTTATGGATATTACAAGCCTATTTTTTATTATTTCAAGTTAGGTATATTATATATAATAAAGTTTTTTTAAATGTATAGTTTTTAAATGTAAAGTTGAAATAAAGTGTAATGTCATTTTTTTTATAAAATTTGCTTTAAAAACTAGCCTTAGCTTAAATTCTCATACAATATAAGTAGAATATAATTTTTTTATTGGAAATGTGGATATTTAACAGAGCTAACTCATTTAGCCGAGATTCAGTTCGTAAATATGTTTTCAACCTTCTCAAGTTGGAAAAAGTCCTTTCATTCGTACATGTTGTAATAGGCAAACCTGCAAGAATATAAAACAACTTCAAAATATTAGGAAATTGAGCCAAGGTTTCTTTACACCGATTGAGCGCATCAATAGCATGCTCAGATAAAATAGCTAAACGTAGTAAATATTTATACCACAATTCGAATTCACTGATTAAATTTATTTCAGTATATAGGAATAAAATTTTGCTAAATATTTAATTTTACCAATAGTGGCATTAGAAAACGAAGAAGGATCTTTGGGTAATAAAACTTGAAGATTGCTAAAGACTTGTTTTTTTTATCTAAAAACCGTACTTTTATTTGCAATAAAAAGTATCTAAGAATGGGATGAAAATGAATATTTTATAATATTCTTCAGTTAAA